AGAGCCATAATAGGACTCTTGGTGTGACATAACAAAAATTAAAATTTGCTGGATGGGATTGGTTGCATGGTATATTCAGGAAGAACAAGGTGAAAAACGTCCCCTTGCTAAAAAACTATGTAAAAAGTCTAAAATAGGTGAAAACAGATAAACACAGTTAATTATACTGTAAAGCGCCATACAAATTCTTCTACAATTAGCTTGCATCGTAACGTTAACGATTCTGGCCTATTTCGGAGGGATTTAAAGGACGGTCATCTGAGCATGGCACGCCTCTGAGCATAACGGTGCTATATGTCCACACTAATTTGCACTAACAGGTTGATTTTTAGCAATTGCCCATTTTTCATGTTGTTCTTACTGGATATCGCGTGAAATGTCTAGTAAACGCCCGGGGCATCTATTTGATTGTTAGTAACTAACAATGCATTTGAAACGTGGAGAAATGTTAGCTATTGATGCATGTCCACGGAAATCAGTATGAAGCTTAGAGACAGTACCCCTAAATGAATATAAGAGGGACTCTCACTTGTAATTGACTGACTGTCCAAAGATTAGCGAATTTTAGCCATTGTTTCACTGCCTAACAAGTTATCAACAATCTTGAAAACCTTGACATCTTCGATGTCATTATAACCCTGATTATAACAAAAATGTTCTTTGTCTAGTGGTGGTAATGTTCCAAATCTTTGTTATTAATATGGCGACGTAGTTTATGCTCAAGCTTGGGAGATATTGACCCTGAAAAACCCTATTGAGCCACCTTAAATCAATGTGGTTACATGTATTTTAAACCTCAACTCGCTTTCGATGTTGGAATCCCTACTTTGAACTTGACGTTGATCAAGATGCAATGCGCAAGCATTTATTAATCAAAAAATAAACTGAATAAGTTGAATGGATTTGCTCCTTTTTTCTTATTCCTACTTAAGCGTAGGGGTGGTGTCTGTTAGGCAGGGGGGGGTGTTTGTTAGAGCGGAGCCTTCAATACACACTTGAGGCTTGGGAGTGCGTTAATAAGACAAGAGACGTTTTGAGATTAGGCGTCTATATCATTTAAAGTATGCAAACCAACCCCATATTATTTCACAAACGTCATTTTTGTGACCTGGTCATTTCCCTTCTCTAGTAAATGTACAAAAGAAGCACTAGTGCAACCTAACACTCCAGATTTAAATTTTGTTGAGGATAAACAGCGCTTGAGGGTTTGGATACTCAGTAGCCTTCATCCCATCCACTAACGTAACCATGCCGGTGCTATCACATCCCAAGAACTTTGTGCTGTCCGACGAGTAGCGGAAAAAGGTGTAACTCCAGTAGTAATCGAAGGTAAAGCGAGAGTTGTTAGGATATGATGATCCAGATTCATATCGCTGAAATTTATGCAGAGAAAGCTTTTAATTAATACTGTACATACTTTAAATTGGCTAACGGAATCAGTTGAAAAGTCTCTGTACACTAAAGATATTAAACGATGNTTAAATCAATGTGGTTACATGTATTTTAAACCTCAACTCGCTTTCGATGTTGGAATCCCTACTTTGAACTTGACGTTGATCAAGATGCAATGCGCAAGCATTTATTAATCAAAAAATAAACTGAATAAGTTGAATGGATTTGCTCCTTTTTTCTTATTCCTACTTAAGCGTAGGGGTGGTGTCTGTTAGGCAGGGGGGGGGGGTTGTTTGTTAGAGCGGAGCCTTTAATACACACTTGAGGCTTGGGAGTGCGTTAATAAGACAAGAGACGTTTTGAGATTAGGCGTCTATATCATTTAAAGTATGCAAACCAACGCCATATTATTTCACAAACGTCATTTTTTGTGACCTGATCATTTCCCTTCTCTAGTAAATGTACAAAAGAAGCACTAGTGCAACCTAACACTCCAGATTTAAATTTTGTTGAGGATAAACAGCGCTTGAGGGTTTGGATACTCAGTAGCCTGCATCCCATCCACTAACGTAACCATGCCGGTGCTATCACATCCCAAGAACTTTGTGCTGTCCGACGAGTAGCGGAAAAAGGTGTAACTCCAGTAGTAATCGAAGGTAAAGCGAGAGTTGGGAGGATATGATGATCCAGATTCATATCGCTGAAATTTATGCAGAGAAAGCTTTTAATTAATACTGTACATACTTTAAATTGGCTAACGGAATCAGTTGAAAAGTCTCTGTACACTAAAGATATTAAACGATGAAGCTAATGCAAACCCCCGACTACTTTTGGAGCCTTTTGGTCTTATGAATAATAACAATATAATATTAGCGAAACAGCTGTCTATGGCTACAATCCTGCTCTGTTTTGGGTTCTGTCGGTGTCGTGTTAATGTCTTGCAAAATTAATTTTCACACTGAGTACGATCAGCGATCAGCATAATGAGGTATTCTGTTTGCAGAATTTAATATGTCTACATGATTTTCATAGCGGAGCACCACGTGTACGTAGCCCCATGGCTAAGTAAATCTACCCATCCCAGAAAATTTGGTAATCACGTGACCGTACACCGAGCGAGCGAGCGACCGTCCGTCCGCACCACAGGGACATTCTAGCTAGTTTGGGAGCCCAAGAGAAAACTAATTGCACATCAATGTTGTGATCAGTTGACAGCAAAACAGGGTATCCGCTGACCAGTATCACCTGACCGTGATCAAGTGTCGACCCATCGAGGTCGAGTATTTTTTGAAGTTATCTGCTGACAAATTAACAGTTTCAAATGATCGCAGGCTCAATTTTATTTTTTCCAATGATTCATATGAAATATGTTGTGTTTATGTCACTATGGCCCCGCACTGTCAAGATTTTGATTTCAAACTGCCCTCGGACGCGAAAATTCAGTCAGTTTTTAAAAAAAATACAGGCGGGGCGGGAAAATTCGCTGACATCTGAGTTTCGAATTGCCTCCTATTTCAAATAGAAAGGAAATTTAAAAGAATGATTATTCAATTTACATTTTTGTGGTGTTCGTCACCGTCGCCTTTGTTAGAACCACGATTCGAGGAAAAATGTGCCTTTACCACTTAACATTATCCGCCGATCTTTTCGAAACTTCAGCATCTCCCAAGGCAACTCCCCGGACATTTCAATTTTTTAAGACAGGCTTGTTAAAATTCCTGTTACTTTAGCCCAATGTGGTGGTCAAATGCCTTATCCCAAAGAAGAAATGTTTTGCAGATTGTGAATTTGAAAAAATTAACTTTGCATTCATTATTGCGTATGGTTTTATTTACTGTGACTGACGTTCTGATCATTTAAGAAGTAAGCCAGGTTTGCATTTCCCATTTGTATTGAAGTAGGCAGGGATATTAGGGTCAAGGTAATACGCTTATTGAACCTCTGTTTGATGCTATATCGCCTTTGTTTCTCACTATATTTAAATAAGCAGATGTTTACAAAAGGTAATTAAAATGAAATGATTTTCTACGTTTGATAATATTTGTTTCTCACTATAAATTTTATCTTTTTATAAACCTCTGTTCAATGACGGTTAAACTACTTCAAGGTAAAAGTAGGTTGAGTTTGATCGTCCGGGTGAACGTAGTCCTGAATAGCACTGTTGCTGTTGACAGTGACTGACGTTTCGACAGTCCCAAAGAGAGTCCGTCCATTAATTTTACATCTACTAAGCGGCCATCATGCATGATACGCTTAGTTTGGCCTCTTTTCGGAAGACAGGAAAATAAAGTCCGAGATACGGAAGGTGACGACCAATTTTGGTCTATTAATGCTGCTCATGTCGCGTGTTTGTTTGAAAATCTAATAATAAAAGCGATGTTTCTGCTAAAGATTGTGCTAATTTATGACGAACCTCTATTGAGGAGCCGATACCCCGAGGGTGGCCGCTTTAATGGAGGTTCAAATGACTGTAGATGATTGGTGATGAAAAGATACATTTATCAACGAGCAACCTCGTCCTCCTATCGAAAATTTTCCAGGTCAAAGCCCTATATAACTCTCGTTAATGAACCAGTTAAAGGGGGTGACATTGGGGGGGGGTGGGGGTACCAAATACCGCCAAAAAAAAGAGAAGAAGAAGAAGAAGGAGAAGAATAAAGGAAGAAAGAAAAAGAAAGAAAGGGGGAAAGAAAAAGGAATGGCAAAGACCGAAATGCCGAGTCCAAAATCGACGAAATACCGATGCCGCATTTAAGATCGGTCACACTTACTTAAAGTCGTATCCATCTCGCGTGTTTGTTTATCTCAAGTATGTATACACAGAAATCAACCTCAGCAATCCCCGCGAGAAAACGTGAGGAGACATCGAATTGATCAACACAACGATCGAAAAGCCCAGTCACTGGTAGCCTCCCGCGGAGGCGTTTTTAGGGGAGATCGTTTTTCATTTATCGTTAGCATTAGACAAGAGAAAGCAAATGAACGGACCGCAATACCGTATATGAAGAATCTTCTTTTACCGCATACAGTTAGCCATAAGGATGAAAAACCGCAGACCGCAGGGCTAGATGCCGCACATTAACATCTTTAAAATCAAAATTACCGGAAAACGGCTTGAAAAAAAAAGAGAAAAACACAACAAAAACAAAAAAACTCAATACCGCAATACCGTCAACCCCGGGCTCCATGACCCCCTCGTTGAACCTTTCGCATTATAATTAAGCAGCCACCCTCAGGGTACCGGCAAGTGGCCCCGCTTAATGCAGGTTGGCTGCTCATTAGTAGAGGTTCGTCATAAGTTAGCATAATCTTTAGACTGGAAACATCACTTTATTTTGAAACAAATACGCGACGATTTTTTGACTGTGATTACTTCCGGTCAGAGGCAATAGTGAATTCTGTAAAAGCAACATTAAACAATTGTAAGAACCTCAGGGAGACATTTAATTAATAACGATAAAATGTTTTACCGAAGCTAGGACGTCGTTCTGAGTTGCTTTGTTTACAGTTAGGACGTACTGTTGTCCGCCGTCGTTGAAGAGAAGACTGACATCGTTCTGATTAAAGTTAATCTCACTGGTGGTAACAGTCGATAAACCCTGTCCACCTTAACACAACAGAACAAAACATAAAGTTATTCGAAACAGGAAATAAGATGCAGAGAAGGGATCGGGGGTCCTTTCCACCTTGATGAAAGGGACAAAACATAACTTATTCATATAAGCAAACGCTGGAAAGGGAACGTTGATACTATTTTAGTGTGGCTTGCTTATATTGTTGATAATTTCGGATTTTTATTTGCCAGAGTCTAGGCTTCATAGCTAAAAGGATGTCCGATACTTCAAGATCTCTGCACACTGAGCAAACGTTATTTTAAATTTTAAAGCAAGAAAAGGGTAGAAAAGAAGTAAAGAGAGTCAGGAAGCCTTGAACCGAGTAGCAGCGATACCGGGTAAGTACGCGGACACAAAGGAGACATGCCATAGTGGCCGTATTATCCGGGTGTCAGAGGGCTCTACGAAAAACTGAACCTCACGGACGCATGCTGTATTGATATAAGGACTATAAAGGACTTAGCCCTAGCACAGAGCGAATGAAGTGAGACTTGGGATGCGAAAAATGCAGACTGTGAACCGGTATAAGCTAATACAATACAATTACTTCCAGGAGGCCTCGTAAAAAGGGAAAAATCAATTTAAAAAAATAGGAAACTTACTGCCGCTGCCACTGAAAGAACCGTTGCAATAAAAATTACTGCCAGATGGGTTTAGCACCATTAAACCATCGTTTGACATGCCAACAAGGCTCCACATTCGATAATTTGTGTTCCCGTCAACTGGGTGGGGTTTCTGCGGACTGCCGTCGGTAGCCCCATTTCCCGATTTAAGTACAGCATAACTCGACAAGGCAATACTGGTTACAGTCAACACCGTCAAAACCACATGGTACAAAACACAGAACACCCTAGTCTTCCGTCCATGATAACAGGCGCTTTGACCTGGTTCCTTAAAATAAACATAACATAAATTAAAAAGTGCTTCATTTGGTCAGTCAGTTCGTCAGTAACACCTTCTTTTTCCTCTGTTTTTAGGTTTGTTTTGCTTTGTATTTTTGTGGTTGTTTGTTAATTTTTTTTTCATTTCTTCCACTTTACTCACTAGTATATTGTGACTCAATTTGAAAAATATGACGTTCATGGCGCAATATTATTAGTCGAAGGTACATTTGGGAATGTGCTTTTGTGAGATTGTTTACCCTTTTAGTTATTAGTAATGGTCCTTGTCTGTGCCACCAATGTTATTGGCTGCAAATGCGCGTTAAAAAAGGAGTTGTGGGGCGGTAACCACTACGAGCAGAGGTTTCTTTCTGGCATAGGTCTTAGCGTTAATTTTACCTCTACAAGATCCAGAAAATTCTGGAAGGGTGGACCGCGACAATTGACAGCTATAAAGATACTATTCAATTTGCTGAGAATTCTGTAAATAATGCAAATTTCACCGAAAAGGGGGCAGGGAGGTTGGAGGAAAAGTTTGGCGGTCCACTCGACCAAACCCTAGGCCCCACCTGGGGCCTGGAGTGTATTTTAAATATACTTATATTTGCTTAGTGTCTGAAACAGGTCTCCCAACTATTGACTGGAACAGGCCGGGTCGCAGATTCATTTATTTTTTTTCTTTTCTTTTCTGGAATAAATTCAGATAGGAGCCGGATTATTAGATTCCAGAGTCTTAATGATCGCGACTCAGCAGGTCACCTCCATAGTATAAATTTAAGAAAGTTCCCCGGGGGTCGTTATAACACCTGTCACTTTAATTTTAGCGGCAAGATCGCGCTGGCTACACAATATGTGTAGAGCATTTTATTTGAAAAAACACTTTATTTTGACTGGGTTGAATGGTGGCTCGTTACATTGCCTAGCAAATGGCGTTTTCAATAGTTATATCTCACCTCCACAGACATTCCTCCCATTGCGTTCAAGGCTTTCCACACTAACGATATGCAAAAGTATCAAACAAATAATTTTGACAGTTAAGATAACGGTGGCTAAAACTTTACTAACCGGGACAATTAAACAAGTTACAAGTGCCGAGATTTCTCACAGTAAATAGATTTTCCTGCTTAAGTTTCCGGAATTCGAGAATTTTTGCCTTTGGAATCCGGAAACCTGGTCTCTGGAATCTACCATGCACCTCAAGGAATCCAGAATCCCAATAAGACTGGAATCCACAATGAATAAGAACTTAACGTACATTTGTGGCCCAACCTAAGCCCAAAAATTCGACGGACGTACTTAAACACAGGTGCGACCACTTCTGAACATAACACCACTCAGTATCCTTTCAAGTATTCCGCCCGATTTCCATTGGCTCAGATTCCTAATTCTCCAATAACGTTTGCAATATACGGTAAAATGACGTCAACAGTAATCGCCAGAAAATTAGAACGGCAAATGAAAAGCCCTGAGGATGAGGCTGCTTTGGCTCAGTTGTTTTCGAGCCTTTTAGAGATGGGGAAAATGTTGGAAAATTTTTCATGTTTTGCGAAGAAGAAGTAAACGAACTTCTGCCCCCAAATAAGCAAGAACAGTAAAATACAACTCAACGGATGGCAACTTTCATTCTGCAGAATATCTGTTTGACTAAACATCACTTCGCAGTTCCGAATTTTTGCCGAGGAACAGCAGACACATGCAGAATCCCACATCGATAGACTAGTGGACATGTCCAGTAAAGTAGGAATAAATTTAAAGGGGCTGTTTCACGGCTCCCTAGAGTTCACTTTGTTAATATTGTCAATATCACGACGCTATTCACAATGTGTAGTTCCACAAAATATCCATACACGCCACGGAGGGCACTTTGTTTTAGATCCCTACCTCCTGGAATTCCGTAATTTTCCAACTTGGTGATATTTTTAAATATCTCACGCTCTTAAAAGAGCCGATGACAGCTATCTATCGCGTAAGACGTCGTCAACAAAAAAAAATAATAAATAAATAACATAAAATATTCAGCCGACCGTTCATAAAATATCATCGATGAAAACTGAATAATTTTTGTTTTAAAATACTGTTGACAGTGATTTAACTGATTGCTTGCTGAATAGAGCGGTTGTTAGTTTTCGAAAACTCACCAGTCTAACTCATGCAGAGTCCACTCTCTCCAAAGCATGATACCAAAAGCAAAAGTTACAGCGAAAAAAATGATCTGTTAGGCTAACAAGTTTTCAGAACCTCAATTATCTTAGTCAGGTTTGTCAATTCATACCTCCTTTTATGTTTGGTGTGTTATTTAGACCGTTTTTTACTCTTTTGAGCTGTTTTTTTGTTTCACTCGATTTGGTCGCGCTTCCATTGACACAGCTCCTCTAATCAAGTTCTTCTACCCATCGAATGCAATTATAAGAACCTCATATTAATCAACTCAGTGAACTTATCATAGTCACTGATATCAACCTTATCATACACTTACCGTGTGCACCACAGTCAGTCCTCAGTAATGAATTGTACGACGCGTTTTCTGGGCCCCCTTAAATACTCCATTCGAATGTTTCTAAATTTGTTCCTGACCTAATAAATCTTAAATTTTCTAAATTTATCGCTGACCCTTGTACTAAGTAAACTCTTCCGTGTATGGATGAAGAGAAGCTGATATCGGTATCTTTTTATCAAAGCGCTCCTAAAAGAGTTAATTCTTTTAAGCACATAGTTACGTCTAACATGGCTAAAGTGTAAATTCTGATAAGTTAGTTCTCTGACGTCTTGATGCCCAAATACGCCATTTAAAACTATGTCGATGCCGATGTTTATCTTTTCTACAAGGAATCCAACTGGCAAATATAAACACTAAAACGATATGTTATCAGAATCCATAGACAACACTGACGTCCCGGAAATCATGATCAAGAATCAACGAACCGGTAAAAGGAAGTTTAGTTACTTCGCGTCCTAGCACTACCGTTATGAATTTCAGAGAAAGGATTAACTTCCCCTGTTGTGTGATATTTTTATCATCCGGGGCCCAGTTGCTCGAAGCATGGTTAGCGTTAACCAGAGTTTAATACCTTGACAACGTATTGGTTATCAAAGCGCTCCTAAAAGAGTTAATTCTTTTAAGTACATAGTTACGTCTAACATGGCTAAAGTGTAAATTCTGATAAGTTAGTTCTCTGACGTCTTGATGCCCAAATACGCCATTTAAAACTATGTCGATGCCGATGTTAATTTTTTCTACAAGGAATCCAACTGGCAAATATAAACACTAAAACGATACGTTATCAGAATCCATAGACAACACTGACGTCCCGGAACGCATGATCAAGAATCAACGAACCGGTAAAAGGAAGTTTAGTTACTCCCTGAAAGCAACTGAAGTATGACGTTGTCGCGTCCTAGCACTACCGTTATGAATTTCAGAGAAAGGATTAACTGCCCCTGTTGTGTGATATTTTTATCATCCGGAGCCCAGTTGCTCGAAGCATGGTTAGCGTTAACCAGAGTTTAATACCTTGACAACGTATTGGTTTTGATACTGCTTAACCAATGGTTAAAGCTAACCATGCTTTGAGCAACTCAGCCCGAAACGTTAACATTTTTGTTGCATGAGGTCGCTACCTTTTTCATTTGCCTGACAGACTTAGTAAACCCATTGACCAAGAGAGGATGAAGGGTTGCACTGATTTTAACTTCGAATTCCCATAATCCTTACAAATGCTGTGAAGTATTTTGAAAGTTATTTTAAGTTTATTTCGTGTTGTGCTTGACGTTTCAGTCGTGACTTGAGCTTGTTATGATCAGTTTATAGATAAATGTCAATCCGTATTTGCGTCGACAGGTTTTCAAATTCTATTACCTTTAAAAGTCGTTTTTCAATATGAATGTCATTTATTAAATTTGATTGTCAGTCCTTAAAGTGGGCACGTTTTGGAACCGTCGCTGACCTTGATTTTTACCTACATCAGAGTTCCTTTGGTTTAAGGTAGAGTCTCGTGGGTTAAGCCGTCACGCTTTCATTGGTTTTCTTATGGCTTTGGTGGTCAACAGGAAATTCGTTCAAGTCACTCGGAAAAGCGTTTGTAACTCTCATGGTCACCAAGCCTAAACGTACCTACGTTTTACTTATATAAGTTGCCAGTGTTTAGCACGAGGGAGAGAGTAGCTGAGATTAGTTACAGTCAGTTGTCTTGCAGAATTTGTTAAGTGATGCTGTAAACAAGACATAAGAGCCCCTGTAAAGATTAAAAGAACAACAAGGTGTGACTTAGATACCTGGTACCTCTACGCTCAGCGAGCGAGTTGCTCGTAAACCCCTTACACAAAGTTAAATAAGGGTGGAAGGTGGCTCCGTCATTAATACAGGCGCATCAAGCCATGACAAACTATCCGTCATAACTGTTCATTTTCTTTTTAACGCAATGGCTACGAAACCTTGCAAAGAGCAATATATATCATTCAGCAATAATGTGAAACAAACCATTTTTTACGAAATTAGAGTTGAAGTTGATCCTTTACGTCAGTTCAAAGAAAATCAAATCTAGTAAAATCCGAAAACTAGGTTAAATGAGCCACCAGTTTTACATTTCGGGAAAAGTAATTCCAATTTTTGCTAATTCCTCAAGCAAAAGCCGATGCGTACTATTCAGTTTAAAAATTACTTTCTAGTTAACAATTATTCAACGAGTGCGCTTGGCTATAACCATCTCATATCCAACAAGCGCGAGTGGAATAATTGTTTTAATAAAAACGCCCACAAAATCTCGATGAATCTCCCCGACTTTGTTTTGCTAGAACAAACCGGAAAAGACAAGAGACTTCCGCTATTAACATGTCACACGTCCATCAAAACTGTCAACGCGCTAACAGACTGGATGAATGAAAAAATAACGATGAACACTTTTAAAAACTCATCGGGATTCTAGGATTTTACACTGCAGGACAGCTAAAAATCTAGCAGATAATGCATATGAGAACAAAAAGAATTTTGAAGTGCAGCCGTCGAAATTACCGTGAATTTGGAGTTTTGGTGTAAACGTAAGAACAACGGAGGAAAACCTTTCCCTTGGTCGCCATTTAGCCTGTGCCAGGCTCTCAGATAGTATAGTGCGGACGTATTAAAACGAGCAAAGCGAAAATAAGACGCGCCATGACTTTTCACCACTTTCTCGGAGCCTGGATCTCCCCAGCCCCCGCGCGTTTATCGCATTTCTTTTTACTGAACCACTTTTTTATTGAACGACTTTTCACCACTTTCTCGGAGCCTGGAACAGGCTAGTCGCCATTCAGAACCGCCAGCTGGTTTTGCTGAACGAGAGAAGAAGCTATACTTACGCCTGGATTGCTGTAGTGAATGGCTGCTTAGCCTGTATTTGTAGCTAGTTGCTTGTGATCTTCTTTATGTCGGATGAATAGGCTGCAGTTATTTATCGGCGAGTGGCCTTGCCATCATGAAGAAACAACGAATTCTTGTCTTCTTTCGTAGCTGGTCGAGGTATTTTTAGTTTCATGTATTTTCATGCGTTTTTCGATAAGCTTTCTTTTACTCCTGTGGCTTTTTTGTTTGCTTGTTTGTTTGTTTGTTTTTTTTTCTGGTGATATTGCATTTTCTAGTATTCTAAGAATTAAAACGATCTTCTTCGGGCGTTATTCTATCCTTCGCGAAATAAAATCTCAGCAAGCTTCCAGTTTTGAACTGACGCGTACACTGACCAAATATGGAGAGCATGGTATAATGGCTCATATACCATGATGGCTAAGCCAATCAAAACGCTAGAATTGCGTTATCCAATGATTAAGTTTTTAATAATCATTTTTTCACCGTCATCCTTTCGGTAAACACAAAACAGTTAGCTTTTGAACAATTTTAGTAACAATTAGGTCACCTGTAAATTTTCAGCCATACATCTCAACAATAGCGATTGCAACGGCCTCCGAAAATTAGAGGGATTTGTATGAGAAAAACAACTCTTGTCAC